TGGAGTTTTGATCTATTCATTTATTTGGGCCATATTTTTTTGTCTCTTCATTTTGGCAGCTTTCCTATGTTGATTTCTATGTATTAGGTAGAGCTGCTATGACTCTGTTTCTTGGTACTGTGGCCTAATGTAGTAGGTATTCTGTAGGGTCCATTGGAATAGCCTCCCCTATCACCCAAGCTGGGTACCTGAGGTGCACCCAATGTGAGGAATGAGTACATCAACTACAAGTACTCTTGTAGTTGAGCCTTGATAGCTGTTGGCAAGTTGATGGGAGGAATTTACCCAGGCCAGTCAGCTGCAAGGACTGGCTATGATTACTGACCATCAACCTCCACACTCTGTGGAGGATCAGCTGTGCAGGGGCAGGGTGGTGATGCTCTGACATGGTCTATAGCCGTCCACTGAGTGCGCAGGCCCTGGAGTTTCCCAGGTGGTGCAGGCCAAGGTCAGCCCCCACGTATGTTCAGCTGGGGCTACCCTGCCTGAGCTATAAAGCAATCTGAGATGGCTGCTACTTATGCTGGGCTTGGAGATTCCCAGGCAAAGCCAAGCTGCGAAACTAGGCTGGCTGCTGCTAGTGCTGGGCCCAAGGTCACATAGCAAGAGGTATGTGGGCTAGGAGCTCTCTTCGGCAAGCTGTTGCTTGTTTAAGAGGATTTAGGATATTGTGCTGCATGAGCCAAGACCACCCATTCACATGGGAAAGCAACTTTGGTGAGCTGGTAAATTGGGTGGGGCGGAGTCTTAGGGGATCCCTAGGGTGGGACAGTGTTAGCCAAATTGATGGAGTCTCAGATAAGGCGCCCACCATGGGCTCTGTGGAGGGAAAGTTCAGAAAAGGGATAATGGCCTCTGCTCTCCTTTCTGCCTGGCAGAAACCTGTCGCCTAGTTCTTGCCTTGATGCCAGACTGTTTGGTCCCTCCCTGTGTGCCACCGGTGCCTTTCAAGCTGCTACCCTGGTGCTGGAGCTCAGAGGGAGTGTGTCTGAGTAAATTTGTGTGTGGATTCTTTAAGAAGAACTGCTCCTTTAAGAACTTTCTTCCTCTGACTTAATCCGTGATTTTTTTTTTCAGCCAGAAGTTACAAGGATTTCTCTTACTGGCACTGGAACACTGGGCTGGGGGGCCCAGTGTGGGGCTGGGGGGCCCAGTGTGGGGCTGGGACTCCTCACTGCCAAGATATCCCTTCCGAATTTTTATCCACCACATGTGGGTGTAGAACCAGCCTGTTCCATGTCTCCACCCCTCCCACCAGTCTGGATGGATGTGGATTCTTTAATTCCGTAGTTGTCGGACTTCCATTCAACTTGATTTCTGATGGTGCTGAGTGATGGTTGTTCTACAGTTTAGTTGTGATTCTGATGTGGTTGTGCAAGGAGGCAAGCCCTGTCTGCCTATGCTACCATCTTGACCAGAAGTCAAGATGACCAACAACTAACTTTGAAAGCTTCAGTAAGGTGCTGTGTGCTAGATTCTGTTTGTGAAGTTCTCGTTTTCTTAAAGAAGAATTTTATGGGGAGATGCTTTGGACCTATGTAATATCTCATTCCTTGCCCAACTTCTACCCATTGGATTTGGTGAACATTGATATTTCTTGTCTGATGATTGCCAAATGGTGATTTTTCTCATTCCATCATTCCTTCCAAATTAATTGGCTGCATTCTACTCTAAGGGTTATCTCTTCTCCCCATTTATTTATTCATTAAAAAATATCAGTGTGAACTCAAGGATTATACTTTATTATATGGGCTGTATTCTCCTATTATAATTTATTTTGATGCTCAAATTGCCCCAGATTGGCCAGTAAAAGCCCCTTCAAGATGACTTTGTTTTGTTGAAATATTTCCATAATTCCTTGAACATTTTCATACTTTCTGGCACAGTAAGATGTTCCAGGCTCACTTATATGGTAGTTAAAATACATTTATATTTATTTACATAGCTATATATATAGAAAACCTTGAATTCACATCAATACCTCTAATTCCAGTCCAATCACAAGGCTTCTTGCTTTTCTGGCCACTGGATCTGTCACCAACAGTGAGAAATCTGGCTCGTGTTGTCCTCATTGTAGTTTTCCTGTGTCTAGTTCCCCTCCACATACCCAGCCGCCTGACTTTCAGACTGCCCTACCCTCCTTGTTTGTGCTCTGACCCCCCCATGACCTGACTTCCAAGCTGAACATGGGGGTGGCTGTAATCTCCTGTGTAGATAGAAAAGCAGAGAGAACAAATTAGTAGAGAGAGATACACCCAAAATCAAAGGACACAGAGTATCCTTCGGGTTCCTGGAAGTGTTCCAACTGCTCGTTCTTGTTCTTTGCTGAGACATGGCCGTGTTCCTGTTCCCGGCTTGGTGAGCAACTCCTACATCCTGATGATGAATTCTTCCCTTTTGGCTAAGTTACTTCAGGTTGGGTTCTGTTACTTGTAAACAGAGTTATAAACAAGGGTCTATTTATATCCTGGTTTGTGCTACAAAAAATAAAAATAAAAAAAGCAAATTGTGGAATATAATCAGGCCAAAGGGAAATTAAAAATTAGCCCATAGAAAGTGCACGCCACATGGTTCTGTACTATTGCTTAATATGAGCTAAAATATTAGTGCTAAGATTTTTAGTGACCTAAACTAAGTGTGAAATGCAGTCCCTTACAAGATTTTGTCTCCAGACTTAAAACAAATCAGCAACTGGAGGATGAATAGATACACCATTGGAGCAAAGAGTCTGGAGGTGAACCCTTCAACAAATGGCCAATAAATGGCAAACATTGTAGCCATCTGCAAAATATATTATTTTGGATCCACACCTCACCCCATATACTGAGTCAGTTCCCAATGGATTGAGGTTTAATTGCAAAACACTGGAACTCTAAATGTCCATCAGCACAGTATTGGTAAATAAATTATGGTATTTCCCTGCAATAAAAAGTTACGGGGATTGAAAACATAGTAAGGAGCCCTGTGTATATTGCAATAGACATCTTCTTGATATATTAAGTAATAAAAGATGTAATCATTGCGTATGGCATACCACCATTTTTGTAAGCCATGGAATGCCTTGGCTTCTACAGGCATAAAGAATTCTCCAGAACAATAAACAGAAAATAGTGGTGACATGTTTGCGCATGGGGACAGGTGTGGGGGAGAAACCCCTTTTTTTTAAAAATAATATTTTATTTATTTATCTTTAGATGGGAAGGGAAGGAGAGAGGGAGAGAAGTATCAATGTATGGTTGCCTTTCATGCGTCCCCTGCTGGGAAGTGGCCTGCAGGGAACCGGTCTGCAACCCCGGTATGTGCCCTGACTGGGAATCGAACCGTGATTGTCTGGTTCACAAGCCCATGCTCAATCCACTGAGCTACACCAGCCAGGGAGAGAAACCCTTTTTACAGTAAACCTTTTTATGTCTCCAGATGAATGAACCATATATAAGTACTGATCGAAAAAATTTTAAAAATCGATGAAATCAGAGGAGCCCAGCTAGTTTTGACAGATTGAGAGCACAGCAGGAGGGGCTGCAAGTTTTACCTGCCCACAAATTCCCACTGTGGGGGGACCCCAGGGACTGTCCACACCCTGAGATGCTATCCGTCTCAGGAAGTTTTCCCTCCCCAAAGCCTTTCCGGATGTTACAGGGGAGGTCTGTTGCCCAGGGTGCTTGTCATAGAAGAAATGTCACTCTTAGGGCACTTTGCCAAGAGCCTCTGACTATTTCCTCATTCTGCCCATGAACATTCCATGTGTAGGTGAATTTACAGTAACTATGCGATCAAAATTTGAGCGCTGGAGGAGGTTGGTGCACACCAGCTTCAAAGCCAGAATTCCTGGGTTCACGTCGCAGTTGTTGACTTACTAGCTGGAGGTTATTCATTTTGTTCATCTTGATAGACAGGGGGTGGGGATCAAAGCACCTGCCTCCCAGGGTCCGAGTAAGGACCATAGGCTGACACCAGCCTGCCCAATAGCAATATAACGCAGGCCATAGGAAGCATTAAAATTCTTCTAGCGCTCACATTTTAAAAAGACACAAGTGAAACTAACATTGATTCCCATATATAAAAAAATTACCACTTTAACATGTAATCAATATAAAATTACTAGTGAGATGTTTTATTTTTTGGTATAGAACACATACATCTGAGTTCCGACCAGCGTCTGTCAAATGGGACCATATTTTAAGTGCTCAGTAGGCCTCTGTGTTGAGCCCTGCTGATCTAGCCAGGGTGTAGCACATAGTAGGTGCTAATTCTTGTGAGCAGAGGTGCAATTGCTGTTACCACCCCTCGCCTGGACTAAACCTGTGGGGGGAGTCCTCTGGGTGAGAGGCCTGCATTTTTGGATAAATTAATAGGGTTTACTTTAAGCCAACTCAGTTGGCCTCCGTTATTTTAATTCACAGCTGCAAGGTGTGGTACTGGTTACAACCTCGGCAAATGAACCATTTACGCAAGAGGGGAGGCCGCTGTTCCCATCTCAGTACGTGGTTGTCCCAGTTCCGGGGTTAGGGGTGGGAGGTGGGGGTCTGTTGTCCCCCCAAATGCGTTGGCCCCTGCACCGCTATAGCGGGGGTAAGGCAGGAGAGTGGGAAAGTCTTTTAAAAATGGCAGGCAAGCGGCAAAAGCATGCCGAGCGCCCCCCCTCCCCCGCCGGAGAACAATTACGGCTGTGAAGCAGGGCCACATTTAGGGGGCGGTGGGCGCGAGAAAGGGCAACGGGGGACGCAGACGAATTCCGACAGCCCGCAGATGCCGCCAGGCTGGGCGAGCGTCCGCAACCTCGGCGCGCGGGTCCACGAAGGCCGCACAGGCACGGGGCCACGGCCACAGAACGCCAGGCCGGCGGGACGCAGGGCCGCAAACACCCTTCAGCCCCCGCGGCCGCCGTGTCCCGGCTCCTGAGTGGCCGAGGGGCCGGGATTAACCTTTCACCGCGGAGCCCCGCCCAATCACAGGCCCGCTCTCTAGCCGGCGCGCGGCGAGCGGAGCGCGGGGGGGCAGGCGGGGCGGTGCGGGCGCCAGTGGGATTCTCCAAGCGGCCGTGCGCCGTCGCCGCGGGCTGTGCGCGGGCTTCGGGCGAGCCGGGCGCTGCGCAGTCTCCGTAGCCGCGGGCGGGAGGGGTCGAGGCGGAGGCGCGGCGCGGCGCAGGCTGCTCCAGGCCCAGGTGAATGGAGTAACCTGACAGCAGGGACCAGGCGACGGCGAGCGGGAGGAAATGGCGGCGGCAGCGGCGCCGGGCGGCACCGAGAGGCCTGGGCTGTGACGCACGCGCCGGAGCGGGGTCCGATGGTTCTCGAAGGCCCGCGGCGCCCCGTGCTGCAGGTGAGGCGGGCTCCTGCAGAGCCGCTTTGTGTCCGGGGCGGGGAGCGGCTCCGCCCGGCCCGGCGCGCGCCTCCGCTCCCGGCCGGCGTGGGCGCTCGGGCCCTGGGCCCGCGCTCCGGCCTGGCCTGCGGGGCGGAGACGGCGCGGACAGATGGTGCGGCCTCGCCTGGTCTCCGGCGGCACGGCCTGCGGGGCGGGCGCCCACCCGCCGGACTCTGCGTGTGCCCCAACCCTGGCGCGGCTTCTGAATCACCGCTTTGGAGTCCCTGTGCGGTCGCTGCGGCCCTGCATTGGGACGCGGGCGCCTCCGCACACGGAGCGGAGCGCGTCCTCAGCGGTCTTCCCGGCGGGTGGAGAGCGGGGGTTTGACAGGTCCGGTTACGCGCATGGAGAGGTGCGGACACAGCAGCGGCGTCTCAGGAGCATCCTAGGGACCTGGGGTGGTGGCGGTCACTGCTCTGGGCATCACTGGACACCTTCGGAAGGACCGGGAGGGAAGGAAGCCTTCGGGGCCCGCCCGGGCAGGATTGGGAGGATTGTTCGTGTTTATTGGCGGGTGACCAAGCTCTGGGTCCCAGGGGACCGGTGACCGAGGCCATCTTCCCGCCGCCCCCCCACCTCCGATGTTTTTGTGCCAGAACTTCTGGACTTGCAGAGAAGCCTTTCTTCAGGTTTATAAGTTTGGTGGGGACGTCAGTGTATGATTTCAGTTAGCACACCAGATTTGTGTAGATTATCTGGAAAAGCTGAGCTGCCCCGTGGCTTTGTCCGCAATACAGAGCTAACAACCACGTAGTGTCCCTTCAGTAGCCTGAAGATTGGCGAAAACGGAGATGAGTGGGGAGCCCTTGCTCTGTAGTGTTGAGTCTGTGTGTGTGTGTGTAGAAAGTCATGCTGAAAAGGCATGTGTTACTGATCCACGCAAGTTGAGTGTTCTTCCAATGAGCGAGCGGGTTTTAACAACATTCAACTGAGGGTATTACTTTGAAGTCTGTGCTCCTTGAGGTACTTTGTTCTTCGTATTTCTGAATCTTTACAATGCTGATTTCCAGTCGTCTTTGTGTTGCCGCTCTTCAAGTGCCACGCATTCAGTGAATGGAAAAGGGCACAAGTTCGGTAACATGGGAATTATATGTTTTTAATGTGCTTTAATAAAAGCACAAGTGGTCATGGAAACATACAATGAAGACCAAGTTTCGAAAAGGCCAACTAATTTGAAAAATGTATTGATAGAAACATTAAAATTTCTAAATAAAAATACCCATCTTAACCAAGAGCTCTCGAGTTTATTACAGGCTGGATGATGGAGCAAGGGCCTGGGTGAGGTGGCTGGTGACAGTAATTTTAACATTACTAATCCCCGCAGGAAGTAGGTTCTGGAATAATCAGTGTATTTTGCCAAGTGTTGTCTTTAAAACTAGATAGCTATATGTGGTACATGTATGTTTTATGTAACATGCCATGTATATATACACACATAGAGTTCTTTCGAAGCTTCATTGTAAGCCATATCTCATAAAACTCTGCCTATAGATTAGAAACATGAAAGATTGCTTTTAATATGGTCACTGTAAGCATTTAAATGGTAATGTTGGTTTACAGGTTTAATCATGGCATCAAAATGCTCTTTTAAAAAGAGATGGATTAGTCAAATTTAATTTGGGGAGAAAAGACTTCTCCTGCAGTCATTTTAGTAAGGATTTGCTTTACTTCTGATGCTGCCATGGCACCCATAAAGGGTAAGGATTGTCTGCTGTGCAGTGCTCGTGGTGTGGTGTACAAATTGTACAGTGAGGTGTCTTTGCCGTTGCTGAGTTCTGTTTTCTTGGTGATAGAATACATGTTATTTGATGTGGCTCAGGATCTTCTTTGGCAGTGATTCCGAGGCGTTACGTTCATAGTGCAGCGCTACCTTCCAGGAAGGAGGACGTCTGTGGCGTTGAGATAGCCGTTCCCTGCTGCTGTCTGCCATGCGAGGCGCTCCTTTCACTCGAGAAAGTAGATGTTCAGTAGACGTTCTCTCACTTGCGGCCTTAACATCCTGTGGTCATTCCTTGTGGGAAGGAGAGAAGGGGAATGTTTATTGGTAAGAAACGGCTCCTTGTCCTGTGCCAGGATGTTGCAGGTGCGTTCTCATGTAATCCTCACTCTGACACGGGGAAGCCAAGACTCAGATTATCGCCCGGAGCCAGGAGTCTGGAGCTTTCAGAAGCAGGGCTACCCCACTGTGCTTTCAGGGCCCTGGCACGCGTGCTCTTTCCATTGTGTTGCATCCCTGCTCTGGGTGGATTGCAGGGGAAAACCTACATAACCTGTAGGTAAGTCTTCAGTTAATACTTGCGGAGTGAAGGAAAAGCTGTCTAACCATTTTAAAATGTTCAGGTGACCTCTCTTTATTGCAGGTTTTTTCTTTATTTGTGGTAAAACACAACAGAATTTGTCATTTTAAGTGTTTTTAAGTGTACAGTTTGGTGGCATTAAATACCCGTTGTTGAGCCACCACACCACCACCCATCCCCAGAACATTTTCATCTTCCTCGGCTAAGACTCTGTCCCCACTGCACACCAGCCCCCCTCCCCTCCTCCCAGCCCCCGCAGCCGTCCTGCATTCTGTGTGCCTGCGACGGCTCATGGAACCTCACCTGAGTGGAATCACGCGGAGTTTGCTCTTTTGCAGCTGGTTTATTTCACTTAGCATAGCATCTTCAGGGTTCATGTGAGTTGTAGCATGTGTCAGGATTTTCTTTCTTTTTAAGGCTGAGTAATGGTTCATGGTCTAGGCATGCGCCACAGTTTATTGGTCCGTTCACCCAGAGGTGGACACCTGGGTTGCTTCCGCCTTTTGGCTTTGTGAGTGATGCTGTGGCAGACATAGGTGAGCAAACACCTGTTGAGCCCCTGCTTCCATTTCTCATGGGTATTGTTTCTTGATCTTCAAAATGCCAGACTCAGAATTTATCGCAGTATGGATTTTCTCAGGGTTGTTCCAGATGTTGACTTTCCTACAAACAGTTCCTCTTTGTTGTAAAAGACTAATCTCCTCGAGGCCCAGGATTGACTCATTTTTATGATTTCAGTTCCTATCAGTGTCTGGCAAATGGGTTTATTCAGTCCGTTTGTCACGGAGCCAGGTTGTGCTCCGGGTGCCCCAGGACCGTGCTGGCAGGGTCTGGGTTCAGCTTGTGTCAACAGCGAGCTGGAGCCCAGTGATTTACCTTGTTTACATTGTGCTTTGTGTTTTCGGACCTGCAGGGTTTAGTTCATTCTAAAAGCCCAGTGGACGTCCTGTCTGTTTTATCATTTGTCTACTTTGAGAAAGGATTCAAGATGGTCTTAACAGTAACAGGCGTTTGGAAGGGCTGAAAGTGGTGAAGGCTGAGGGTGCAGTGTGGGGGGGGGAGAGGGGCAGATGAGAAGCCGAGGGCAACGATAGCTCTGTATTTGCATGTAACTAAAGGTTTTTCTATTTATTTAAATATTAGTCAAAGCAAAAGAGGAAACAGTACTAATTATAGTTGGCATTGATTAATGAAAGGAAGTATACCAATCACCCAGGAGAAAGACTTTTCTCTTCTATGATGAATAAGTAGTGGTTTAAATTCTTACAAAAATGACATTAATAATATAAGGACACAATGTTTCACAAATGATAGAGAAACATTTTTCACATGCCATTTTAGAGAAACTAGGTAGAAGCTTCGGGCATAAAAAAAAGTTTTAGTAATACAGGTGTAAGTCATTCCAGTGATTTGAGATTTTTTAGTAATACAGGTGTATGTCATTTCAATGATTTGATTTATTAGATTTGGCTCATTTATCTTTCACATGATTCCCCTGAAATACCAATTATCTGATTCAGGCTTCTGACAGGTGCTAAATGGTAGCCTGTTTGCAGTGAACTCGCTGCCGGGCAGTGCAGCAGTCGGGGTTCCAGGCTCTCTCTGTCCTCTCCAGGGCTGAGGGCTGGCCCAAGGGGAGGGCTGCTTGTGCGGTGGTGTGAGCTCAGCGAGCCAAGTTGGAGGGCGCCTTGCAGTTGATCCTCGAACAAACAGTGCGGGGCGTAAGGGGTGCCAATCCCCACCTGGGTGAAAATCTGCATGTAACTTTTGATTTCTTAAAAACTTGCGTGTCCCTCGACATCCCACAGAATTGGTTCCTGGAGCAGTCCTCCCCACCCCCGCCCCCTGCGAACACCAAAACCCTTGGGCGCTCAGCGTCCCCATATGTAATGGCCCTCTGCAGCCATGGATCGGAAACGGTGCAGGTATTTACTGAATAAAAATCTGCGTGTTAGTGGATCCTTGACCCTCGTGGTGGTGTTCAAGGGTCAGCTGTGTTTTTGAGGTCTATCTGATGAAATTGAAATTTTCAGTAACATAAGAAGACCTTTTTAAAATAAATTCTGAGTACAAAATGACTTTCCTCTTTATATCAAAAATTGTCAATGAATTGTTGGCTCACCTTTAGTATGCGAAGTTGCTATACATGTTAAATAAGTGACTAAGAAGTCGCCGTAAGAAAGCATTGCCTGAGGTTAAGACTTAATAGAAATAAGACATGAAATACCTGAATTTTGTCCTTAATGTTTTGGTTTTGGATACTTGTCGTGACATTAAACGTCCTTTAAGGTTTATAGAATAAGGATGGACTAGAACAGTGCCTGGCATACAGAAGATGCTCAGATTTGTTTAGTGAATAAATTAGTTTGTATTACTTTTTTAAGTACTTAGAAGCTAACACAGGTTTATGGAGAATAGCATTGCTTTTATATTAAGCTTTTAAAAAGATCATTACTGCTCTGATTTTGGACAAGTCGTGATGCTTGGATCGTCTCCATTAGTGACGTGTGTATAATTAGTTGCATAGAAACATTGTGGACTGAGAGAAGTGTTAAGAACTTCATAGAAGAAAATTGCTGTAGAAATTGGGAGTTTTACTGGTATCGTAGGCTTTCTCATCGTTGAAGTGGGCTAAGCCTCATAGTTACAGTAACTCTTTTT